AGGCGACAGGACGGCCATATTTCTTTTTCTTCACTCATATTGCACATCAGGCATATATGTACTCACTTTGCCACACTCTATATTATTGTTTTTATAAAAATGGTCTTATGCAAATTCTTTTTTTTTGTTGTAAATGTTTTGTATGTAAATGTGGCGGACATGAGACAGAACCTGGGACGAGCACAACTGGTCGCGACTTGCCTTGTCCCCACCAAAAAAGAGCGCGTATTTGCTTAGCATGTAAAGCTACTGCAGTTGAAATGAGGAGAGAAAAAAAAGCACTTATCGCTCTGCCGTAATCCATCCTCGGCCAGATAACGTAAAAAGAATGAGGGGGACTGGCATTGCATTTTATGCAATAAAGATGCAATGCATTATGGGACATGGACGCAATGAATTATGGGATCAAGATGAAAACGCAAGGGATTATGGGTATATGAACAAATATGAAAGCAACTACTTTTTCCCAGTCGGGAGTTCTTGAGGGACGTTCACGGTTGACGGCAAGAAAAGGCAGTTAGTGATTATTTTGAGACAGAACTCAAGAAGGAACTACTCAGGTTGAAATACCAGCTGGGAGAGCTTGAATTTACTCGCTGGTTACTGTTTTTTTTATTTGCCTCAGTCCTAAAAAAGATGTACCTAAGCGTGAGCTGTATCTTTGTAAATTTCTGTTTGTATGATGTTTTGAAAAAAATTCATTTTAAATCTTTGTAAATATGTGGAAAGTTGATAAGCAGTTTTGACAACATATGCCCTCTGATTCAGTTTTCTAGTTTTCCACATTATTAATTTTAGAAACACAGTGATTTTAGGATTTGAAAATTTGATTTCCCACACTTGATTAATTGATGAGGATGCACACAAAGGATTTTAACACAGAAAAGTCATGAAACTTGGATTTTTTCTCAAGAGTGAGGGGAGGGAAACTTTTTCATTTGATCTTCCTATAAAATATGTTTAAAATCAAGAATTCCTTTTAATCAAGTGAGAAATGACATTCCACACAGATATTTTAAAAAATTACAAAAACCCCATACTTAATTTTAATTATTAAAAAATTTGGACAACATGTTAATAAAATAATTTTAGGTAAAAAAAAATTTGTTTACATAAAAATATACTTGAAATGACTTAAATGGCATGAGACCATTGAGTAAAATAAAAGAACAATCTGAAAACAATGATTTTATTCTCCAAATCAATTTAATGGGATATGGTGCCCTTAATTTTGATTTCAACCAGAAACCACTTTGACCATCTTTGATTGAACGGATAAAAAATGCAGATGAGGGTTTTGATCAAGCGGCAACAAAAACAGGAAATAGATCATATCCGGTTCTATACTAACTGTCATATGTTTTGGTGGATCGGAAATAGTTCTGTCTAACCCTTAACAAGACGGAACAAAAAAGTAAATTATGGAAATCCATATTTTTTGCCACAATTAGTTGGGATGAGTAGATAATCTCCGGCCGTAGAGAGAAATGTTTGTTTGTATGAATTTGTGGCGAGGCGCATAAATTAGCCATGGAAATCATCAAGACCTGAATTAGAGAGGGTTCACCCACTTATTAGTACCATAGGTTCTTTTCTTACGTGTTACCTTGTGTTATGAAACTGAACGCAATTAAAAAAAAAAGATGGGTTTTTTAAGAAAGAATTTATCTCTGTTTCAAAAAAAAATGTTCACCACATAGATACCCATCAAATTACGAAAATGTTGATTACTTAAAAGTTTATATGATCCTTTGGACAATATGTTAAATTCTATAGATTTTGGTGTTCTGTAAAATGTCCACCTAATATTTAAATATAAATTGAAACCCTTTTATAAAAGTGGTTTCCTTTGTTTGGTGAAGGTTAAAAAAATAGTATTGTTTATTGTTTAAAGTTTAATGAGACCATTGAAAGTAAAAAAAAAAACTCTAAAATGAATGAAACAATATTAATTAACTAACAATATGAAACCATTCAGGAAGTAATCCAGAGAGTAAAACACCTATAAGAAGAGAGTGACGAGAAATCTATCAAAACTGGCAAAGAAAACAAAAAGATTCGTTTTTTCCCCAAAGGCCTTCTATTGGACAATTGAAAGAAGTCTAATCAAACTCATACCAGATTCATTAGTCTAGGATTTTTAAATTGTTGTTTTTATCAAAAATCCTTTAAAAAACAAATGAAAATACAAGGAGGACTAGTTAAGACATCAAGAGACTTTTCACTGTGATGGCCTTGTAGAAGAGTGGTAAGTAAGAATGTTTTTTGGGTGGCACCAGGTTCATTTAAGTTAGTAATTATAAACATCTCACAATAATTATAAGACAGATGAAACCATTCCATCCCACTTTTTTTTCTAATGGTTTGAAAATCATCCTTGTGTGTATATATGAAATATATGAAGAAAATACATACTGTCTACTGAAAATATTTTCTGAAGACAACCTTTTTGAAATATGGATGACTTCAAGCTTGGACGCAGAATACAAGAATCTATTGGATAAAGTATGAAAGAGACCTCTATTATCGAACTGTTTTTAGAACTCCAGCCATCGTTCTTGACATATCTATGGACATTGTGATATGGCCAATTGAGAGAAAACCATATCTCATACTCAATTTGTTTCTAAAACATTTCCATCGATTTTGATGGCACAATTTGAGCAAAAGCGGGTAAAGACTGAAAAACTTTTTAAAGGCTATAGTGAAAGCAGTTTATGGCCATTTGAATTGTAAATTATAAAATATTTGTCAATAAATATAACAAATCAAACTGAAAACTTTCATTAACCAAACTGTTTTTTATTTTCATGATAAAAATGAATAATGCCTAAATGTATAATTTTTGGAGCTCTAATGTTTGTCTTTGGACTGCTTAAAAATTCCAGTGTTTTTATCTTTTTAGCTCGTTTCAATATACAATTTTAAATTCAAATGCTTGGTATGAAATAGATATATATTTGTTTGTAAAATTTATAAAAATTCCATTTTATTCTTTTTTGTTTTCTGTATTTTCTTCATACTGTCGGATCTATATCCATATATTGCTTATATATATATATATATGTAAATGTTTTGTATGTAAATGTGGCGGACATGAGACAGAACCTGGGACCGAGCACAACTGGTCGCATTTTGCCTTGTCCCCACCAAAAAGAAGCGTTTTTGCTTAGCATGTAAAGCTACTGCAGTTGAAATGAGGGAGAAAAAAAGCACTTACCGCTCTGCCGTAATCCATCCTCGGCCAGATATTAAAAAAAGAATGAGGGGGACTGGCATTGCATTTTTATGCAATAAAGATGCAATGCATTATGGGACATGGACGCAATGAATTATGGGATCACATGAAAACGCAAGGGATTATAGGTATATGAACAACTATAAAAGCAACTACTTTTTTCCGAGTCGGGGAGTTCTTCGAGGGACGTTCACGGTTGACGGCAAGAACGGGCAGTTAGTGTGATTTTGAGACAGAACTCAAGAAGGAACTACTCAAGGTTGAAATTCCAGCTGGGAGAGCTTGAATTTACTCGCTGGTTACTGTTTTTTTTATTTGCCTCAGTAAATGAACATGCATATATTTTATTTTCTTTATAAATTGTGCTGTATTCTGGGGAGAGCAACATTGTTGTCTGTGTGAAACTGATCCAAGTAACCTCTTTCCAACTGACAAAGTCTCTCCATACAAAAAAAAACAAACAAACAAAAAAACACAAACTTCCCTATACTTTCTCATGTGATTTTTATGCCCATTTGAGCTTGCAAAAAATTTGCATACGTTCACCCACTCTCACGTATTCTCCTTAGCTGTGACACCATGTGTTCCTTAAATTAAGGTGTCAGGGCAGCCATATTTCTTCTTTTTTTTTTTTTCTTCACTCCTTCTGCACACCAGGCATATACGCGATCACTTTGCTACATGAGCTAAGTCATCTCTTCCTCTTCATTTACTGGACAGTTGGTGTTATCACAGGTTGAAATTTATAAAATCTTTTTTTTGTTAAAACTGCTTTTTGAGAAATTAAACTTCTATGGTTCACTAAATGTTATAGTGCTTTCTAATAATGATGTGAGTTTCCATCTTTTGGCAATGTGGAAAGTTAACAGCTTGATTATATTGTTATTTTCTCTTCTAGTTTCATGTTCTACTCATTTTTACTGTTGCTGCTGTTGAAAGCGTTCAAGTGATGTGGTTTTTGTTTGTGATTTTCTTGTACCAGTTTGTTGGATTGGATGAAGGTTTGTCTTTTTTAATACTTATGGGATTGATTCATCTAAAGTGATTTTTTTGATCTGCAAAAACGGTTGTACATATGTATGAGTTTAGAAATTTCTGATGCTGTTTATGACATCCACATGAATGCCTTGATCTGACGAGGATATTTAAGTAATTTTATTTGAATTTAAGGATGAGCATTGTGGTGTAATGGAAATTGGCTCCGAGAGAACTTGGAGAGCCGAGTTCATATTTGTTAGATTCACTTACACACAAATACCCTTGGGAAAGGTATGAATCCCTCTCTTCTACTCCCCCAGCTATGGGTTGAATAGCAGGACAGACTGGGTTCTTTAGCCTTGGTTGTCAACCAGTCTACTGTAGGAAGAAATGGCAACCTACTGTGGGGAAAAATCTGCCTCATCAGTCATTTTAATGAAAGATACATAATCACCCAAGTGTGTATCATGTATGGCACTTAACTGACTGATTAGAATTTATTACATGAAGTATTGGCAATCATTATTAATTTTTGACTCATATTTTTTCATCTTATTTCTGTTACTTTTTATTGCAACTCACGGATCATCATTCCATTTCTGATCTATGCGGTTTCTTTATGATCATAGATTAATGATTTGACTTACAATAAAAGCAATGGAAGAAGAAAGAAACGTTAGTCAAAACTTAATAGTTATTCATTTAATGATTCTTGATTTTTAAATCTTTACTTCATCTGAGGAAAAAAGAAAACTTATTAAAAAAAAAAGTAAGTATCACTGACCAGAGGTTGAAGCAATTCCAAGTACCCCGCATACTGCAGGAATTGCACTGATATGTTAATAAGTCCTTCATATCTTCAAAGTCTGTTATTTTCTCTCCATAAAAAATTGTAATCTTCATTTCAGAAAACAATTCACTGTTGGACTTGACACACCTACAAAAAAGAAAGGATAAAAATATGCCAATAGCAGAACAAATGATCATTCTATTCAGTCTAACATTTTTTACTTGTGTCATGCTAATTCCTCAACTTGTACTAAAAAGTCCTCAAATAAAAAATGCTTAAAAACTGAAATCAAGTTCTGTCATTCATCAAGAGTTCAGGCATTTGTCAGTCAATGATGCACACATTTCATAAATAGGAATTGGTGAAATCTTTTACATAATAAATACATTTTGGTAAAAACAGGGGGAGTCAAAATTATGTTAACACTAATATGAGAGGAATCATTTATTCAGAGCTTACTGAACATTCTCCAGCTGTCGACCAGCACAATTTATGCACAAAAACCAGCAGTCAACAGTACAATTTAGTGCTTTGACACACATTTCACGGGGAGTGTTTGATATTACACCTTTTATTCTGTCCTTGATTTCTTTGATGTCTAACTTTTTGTAAGCTATACATGTGATCCTTTATCATACCCCCATATAACCAGAAGTCACAAAGTGTAATTGGTCTATATTTCTTTACGACTCCAACAGTGACTGCAAATGCTTACTTACAAATACTGCAATAGTTTACCATTGATAACATACCCCCCTACAAATCAGACGAGCAGGGTATTTCTAACAGGATGATGCACGGCCTCATTTTGCCAATACTGTTCACGCTTGTCTCAATCAAAGTTTCCGAAATTGTTGGATAGGTCGTGGTAGACTGTTGCCAGCACACTCTCTTGATCTGATACCCTGTGGCTTCTGGTTATGGGGGTCTGATAAAGGATCATGTGTGTAGTAAAAAAGTTAGAGACATCGAAGAACTCAAGGACAGAAAAAAAGGTGTAATATCAAACATTCCCTGTGAAATGTGTTTCAAGGCACTAAATTGTACTGTTAATCACCGGTTTGTGTGCATCAATCGTGCTGGTGGACCCAGTGGAGACTGCTCAGTAAACTCTGAATAATTGATTCCTCTTATACTAGTGTTCACCTAATTTTGACCCACCCTGTATAGACATTTGTGCCTCCCAAAAAATGAAGTGCCAAAAAGACAGTTTTTCCCATGCCACCCTCTTTTAATTACCTTCACTCCTCGGCAATGTTTATTGTTTTAAAAAATAACAAGAACTGTAATTTCTTATTTCTGTTGTTACCGGTAATAGCAGGTCTGAATTTCTTAGATGAAGCTTTCTCAGTTATTATTCATTTTTTGATTTATAGTTCTTTCCTCTTATTTTCATTGTTTATTTCACTAGTAGTATTAGACGTAATAGTATTCAATTTTTTTATCCTGTGACCTGTAGGGGGTCATAGGGGCACCATGTGTACTTCAGCTGCAGTAGAAGTGGAGTTTTTTGGCGCAAGATAGACTGATGAAGCCCAACCCTCTCCAGGCCAGTTTTGAATTCAGAGATTTTCCTTCTTCTAGATTGGTTGCCACTCAAGGCAATAGAACCTAGTCTGTCCTGCTACTTACCCTATTTACCCATAGCTGGGGTGGGGTAAAAAGAAGAAGAGGATTCATACCTTTCCCAAGAGTATCAGCACGTAAATGAATGTAATGGATTCGACTGGAATTTGAACTTGGCTCTCTGATTCCTCAATCCAAGCCACTATCCATTACTCCAATATGCCTTCCCTATTCAATTTTATTTACATCCAAAACAGCCAATGAAATAAATTTACTTCTTTTTGATAACAGCTTCAATATTCTATCTGGTCTAAATCTAAGATGATAATTTTCAAAAACATGTTTGTAGATATTTAAGATTTGATTAAGTAATAATTACAGTTGTAAAAGGCTTTGAAATTTCTCAGACAAAATATTGTCAATTATTAATTTTTGTCTATTTCTTGTTTCTGTTGTTACTAGTAATAGCTGTCAGTTGTTTGAATTTCTTAGATGAAGCTTTCTCAGTTATTATTTATTTTTGATTTGTATTACTTTCCTCTTATTTTCAGTGTTTATTTCACTAGTAGTATTAGATTTAATAGTATTCAATTTTATTTATATCTAAAACAAACCAATGAAATCAGCAACAACAAAAAAAATACTTGTTAAAATCAAGTTTGGACAATGTTACATCTAAAAAATGATGATCCTTTCATCTAAGAATTGATTGAATGAATTGTTTTTTTACAGCTTATCAACCTATTTCAGGATATTTAAAAGTCAGAAAATATTTTTAGATTGCAAGAAGTTTTTGGAGATAATAATTTTTGCCAATCCAAGTTTTACCAATTAACCCATAGCTGGGAGAGAATTGATTCCTAACCTTATCAAATTTACATAAGTTAGGTACCTCCACGAAATTAAAAAAGAGCATAGCTTGATGAAAAAAACAACCTTGCCGAAAACAAAATTTTATTGTCTAAATGCTTATGTTATTATTAAGAGGAAAGACCAAAGTTTTTTTAATTATTTTAAAAAATTTCCTTCTTTTAGAACATTCTAAATTTTGATTAAAAAACTTTTTTCTATTTGTATCAGCGGAACTAGTAAATAATATAGACAATTTTAGCACGTTTTTTTGGTATGACACATTAATTTGAAAAATCGTGCAAAAATAGAAATAATTATCGGATGTTAATGAAACTTTCAGAAACTATTCACAGATGATCGAAATTATTATAAATATGTTTTTTTTTATGAAAGTCATGGTAGAAATATTTTTTTAAATATTTATTACCCCCATAACTAATTTTATGAAAACACTAGAAATTGATCGCATCGGTTTTAGTGATTACAATAATTAAAAGCACAGGGCTTTGAGGAATGCAAATCATGTTTTTTTTTGTTTTAATTGATACGCAGTAGCTGAAAATCAGCTCTGAATTGTAACATACAAAACTCAATAAAACAAAGATATTATTTAATTTCAAATGCTTTTATTTGCTTTTAGTTGTTTTTATGAATATGGACAATATTTTCTGAAAGCAAAAAAAATTTTTTCGATGAAAAATGAATTTTTAATACAATTATTTGTTATTTCATTAATTATAATAGATTTTACATTTAAGTTGTTAAAATATTATAAAATTAGTTAAAAGCTGCATCGGCTTTTCATAAGTGTCCTTATGAGATAGATCTTTTTTTAGCGTTGTAAATTGTATCATTTTGACTAATCAGAAGATCCCCAGTAATTAAGAAATGTAATTTTGTGCTTATAATCGAGCTGTAATTATAAAATACGGAAGACCAACCAGAATATAATTGTTTGTGTTATTTGAGTTAAGCATTGTTCTCCGCTGTTAAGGCCTTTACTTTGAAACACGTGTGGAGAAGTTAATTTGATTTTTTTCAATTTCAACTGAGAAGGGTACCTACAAGTATCAGTATCATCTTATGAAATTTATATGATCTTATTTTTATATTAATCTCAGTTACGACATTTTTCCATAAATGAAATATCAAAATTAATAATAAAATGAATGCAAATACAAATAACAGTAGAATGTAATAAATGTACATAAAATTATAGTATTTTATGTATAATTCTGATAAAATTTCATAAGAAAGGTACCTATAAATTAATTAGATACCTTTCTTAAGAAATATGAAATTTAATGTCACTCTTAACAGTTTTATTTTAATTTCTTTTACAATATATTTCCCATAAAGCATCATAAACGTAAAGGTGAAAGTACAAAAAAAAAAAAAAAAAAAATTAGACCGCTGAAAGTTTTCGTTAAAAATAACGGGTAAATAATTTGTTCCGTAAATGTAAATTATTTCACTTTTCTCCTTCCGTAGAACAAAATTAGCCTCATGGAATTGTAAATATATTATTCATCACATGTCAAGAGACGCGAAAGTTTATGACCTGCTTTGTTTTTTTTTTCAAATTACATCTTTTGGCACAAAAAAGCTAAGTTAAGTTTGGTTCAAAATATTTTAAATAAACATTATAATTTCTGATTTTCTTAAAATAAGTTTTGAAAAAATGATAATTGATATTTTAAAAATTTCAAAGTCAGATTTCCAGTTTTTTTTTAAAATGGAAAAAATGGTCAATTTTGCTGACTCAAAAAAAACTAGATTTTTAACGAAAATTTCGGACGTGCTAGGAACAATTAAAAAATGGAAAAAAATACCCCAAAAATACTTTGACCTTTTCCTCTTAATAATAACAAACATTTAGACGATAAAATTTTGTTTTCACAAGTTTATGTTTTTTCATCATGCTATGCTCTTTTTTTAGTATGGAGGTACCTAACATAAGTGAATATCAATCGATGGAATTGAATTTGACTGATTTCTAATTCCAAGCCATTATCCATGACAGCACCTGCACAGTTTACAGCACCTGGTATTCCCAAGCAGTCACCCATCTAGGTACTAACTTGTCTCAATGTTGCTTAACTTTGGTAAGTGTACAAGAATCAGTGTTTCAATGTGATGTGGCTGTAAACCTGACAACTACTAGGAAAATGCAGACAAGAGAAATAAAACAGAAATACTCAACAAAAATTAACAATAATTAATGAGTTCAGTTTATTTTGTTCATATTTTTATATGCTGAGGATAATATAAACTATCTTTAGTCATGCGTTTGTTCATAATTTTATTGAGTAGCAAATAAACTATTGGCTGAAAGCAAATAATCTGGAGTTAATTTTATTATTGAAATAATTTTATAAATAATCAAAACTTAAAAAAAATAAAAAATCTCTTACAAGATCTCAATTACTTACTCAAATAACCGTTGATTGTCAAAAGTCAAGCAACGTGGTCGTCGACTTTTGCCTTTGAAGGGTTTTTGTATTGATTCCCAAACAAGTTCATAAATTTGGGAAGGCTGGAGTGAAGTGGAAGAATCTAGTACAAAATTTCCCAATTGAACACCTCTGTCATCTCTGAGGGTCACAAGTTGCGTATTCACTTCAAAATCTAAAATAAAAGAGAAACATTCAAAGTGGCAAGATTTATTTGCAAGGATCAATAACAGCTATTGGATTATTTTTAATAAAATTCTACATTTGCAGAGACTTTTTTTACAGATGCTTGTGTTTCTCTAAGTATATGGCAGAAGTAATCAGGGACAAAAAGGAATAGCATTAGGATAATAGATTTGAGTTGTGTATCACCATTTGGCTTATCCGTTAAGTCTTTATAGATATAAGATGGCACCCTAGCATAAGAGATGCAAGTTCATTAGCTGCTATTTTTTCATTTCACACTCTTTATTTTAATGGTATAATGAGTATTTACTCAAGAAGATTGTGATAAAAAGCAAGAATAAGATTATAAAAATGTAATTCAAACTTAAAAATAAATTTACTATATTTTCAAGTATAAATATTATTTTCTTTTTAATCAAGGCGGGTGTGCAAAAATTGTCCAAATTCGATCTTGCATACATGAAATTTCAATCAGAGACTTTTTATATATTCTGTAGGCTTTAAGATTTTATTTATATGTTCTATACATGTGGAGTAAATAAAATACCTTCAGTAACACAAATGAACTAGGCAAGATGCCTTAAATAAAGAACTCAAAGCGGGTCAAGTGAAGTCCGTTTGAGTCAGTCAAGGAGAATTTTTAGTGACATTACAGTGAGTAGCCTAAGCAAGATAATATTATAACTGCTAGGAGCAAATTTTAACAGTGGTAACAAGGGATCAAATCTGACACAAAGTAGAAAAAGCACTTTTTGCTTCAGCGCACATGATAACAATGACAACAAGAAATTAGAACCATGTTGGTTTAATTTTTTTTTTTTTGGTGTGTGTAAAAAAGACAAAAAAAGAGAAAGGGAAAAAAAAACAAAATATTTATTAAATATGGAAGAATTACTAGCCCAAGTGGTAAAAATACAATAACAATAGCAACATTAACAGTTGTTGGAACTCCAGAAACAACAACAAAATTTAATCTAATAGAGAAGAAAACAGGAAATTCCCTAAGTTCTTTCACTCCCAATGCGGTGGGAAATACCATAGCTGAATTCATATACAATTCAGATGATGCAGTTACCTTTTCTGCTTATTTTAGAGGATACAAGCAATATTCAGAGAAAAATGCAGTAACAGAGAAAACAAAAAAAACCCCCAAAAACAACACTGACAAAGTCAGCACCAGTAGAACATGAAAAATACTGTAATTTTGTACTAACGAAAAAAATAGTAAATATTCTGATGAAAATTTTTAGTGAGAAAAGTTTGTTATTCAATACTAATTGAAAGTGTATGAATCTGACAAAAAAATATTAAGATTTTGTCACATATGCTGAAATTGTCAGCAAATGTGAAAGATTCAAATTAAACGAACTAACTTCAGAGATGTTTAAAGGGTTAATTTTTGTTCAAAGTTTAACAGTGAAAAAGACACAGAAGTAAGTACAAGAATTCTAGCAAAATTTGAACAGCATAAAAAACTAACACGACAAGAACTATTGGATGACAATAGTTCTTGTCGTGTTAGTTTTTTATGCTGTTCAAATTTTGCTAGAATTCTTGTACTTACTTCTGTGAATATCAGAGAATCCTAAAACTGAAACATGATATAGACGAAAGTGAAAAAAGGATGTGCATCTGCACAAGCTAAAAAAGATGTGGAAAAAGAAAAAGTAAGCCATTTGTCTAGATTTCTGAGATGAGGTATCATGTACACTATTTACATTATTCGGACTATTGTCTTCATCTTTGTCACCATATTTATCAAAATGTTTCGACCTTTCAGTATCTGTCTATATTTCTGGGATGACGTATTATGTACACTATTTACATTATTCGGATTATTGTCCTCATCTTTGTCGCCATATTTATTACAATGTTTCGGCTGTTGTATGCTCTGGCCTTCTTCAGGTGGCTGGAATGACAAACTGAACCCTTTATTTTGCTCACAGGGGTAGACTGTTCCAGTTCCACGTGCCATGTTTTTAATGGATGTCAGTTATCTCCTGTTAATTTCCCTCTGATCATATTACTACCCCACAGTATCACCCAAGGTTAAGTGAACAAGCTGAACGGTTTGTGGGTACTTTCATGAGAGCTCTGAAAAAGTGAGTGAAGAAGCACTACAAAAATTCTTGAGAGTATATTTGAGAGATAAAAGCAAATCCCAATACACCGGCAGGCCTGTCACCAGCAGAATTGATGTTTGCAAGAAAAATGAAATCATGTTTGACAAGTTGTTACCAGGTAAAAAAGAACAAGAACAGATAACAAAAAGAACAGAAAATTTTTCAAAACTGAAGAAAAAGTATATAAAAATGTAAAATAAATATAGGAAGATGCTGTAATAAGATCACAAATTGGAAAAATGATAACTATGGTGAAAGGAAAAAATAGGAACACAAAAGGAATTTGGAATCAGTTAAAGAAAAGGTTTACTGAAAAAAGACCCACAAGAAAGGAAGAACCTATGCAAGTACTGTATGATATTTTTGACGTATCAACACCTCATGAATTCATTGAACATATAAGTCTGATTAACAGAAAAAAAGAAAGATACCGAAAAACTAAAGGTTGACCCAAAATGAAAGAAATACAAAATTCAGTATGTGACAAACTCTCCAGAAAGAGGTGGGAGTGAATACTAAGAAATATGATGACTTCAGAATCTCCTGCAGCTCTTCTGGACAGTCTCTTTGTTTAAGTTGGTGAATGCTGTCATAATCCTTGCCTTCAATTCATCTTTGGTATTACAAGGAGTTTTGGTGATCTCTCACTGAACTGTGCCCCACACATAATAATCAAGGGAGTTACAGTCTGGGAAGTTAGGTGGCCAGATGTAAGGAGTAATGTGGTTACAGAAATTGTCTGACTTAAAAATCCTTAGAGAATTTCAGTAAGATATATTTAATCACTTCTAACAAGAGATCAAAGCTTAAACTAACAATTGGACAATTTTGCTGTTACACATGGTATACACACACACACATATATATATATATATATATATATATATATATATATCACTTTAAGCCATAAATATAGCATACGTTAAAACTATATTTTATCATTTTATATATTACATACACATACATACATATGCCAGAGCAATGGACAGCAGCTTGGATTGAGCTTGCTTCATTCACTTATGTGAAATTGGGAAAGGTGTTGCAGATTTGAATCAACCCACAACAAAGAAAAAGCGTTTAAATATAAAAATATAACAAAAATAAACTTGGTAATATTTATTCTTACTCAAGTCTTTGTTTTGTTTGTTGTTTTTTATTTTCCGTCATTCGATATCTGTTTGCAGACCAATATACCACCCACAACAAGACTTTGTTTGCATACAAAATTAATCTGGGGTTGTATATTTTTTAGTTACTGTTCACATTTTTCTTTTATCCTCGATTTTTGCTCTGATGAGAGGGGACCAATCTTTTAATTGTATTACCAATTTATGGTAATATATATATATTTTTTGTTACCCTACCTTTTTTTGTTATGAAAGGCTTTTTAATATGCCTACTTTTATTGCTCTAATAAAATTTTGTACCCTTGTATATACCCAAATATATTTTACAAAAAAAAAACAAAAAAAAACTTTAAAATTTGTTTATGCTTTTATATGTGATAGTATCATTTGTCAGGAAGACGAGCTAAGGGAGGGTCAATCAAAAGGACTCAATTCGAGGAACACAGTAAAAACTTTAATGTTTGTCATATGGCAGTCCTCTGTGAATTGAAAAGAATTGGAAAAGTTTCAGTAGTTAGAAAATGTATCCTGTATGACTGTTGTGTTTGGATAAACTAGTTACTGTTGAAGAGGAATGGATCCTTTACCATAATGTTAAACATTGCTGTCAGTGGATCAGTCAAAGAAACAGACTTGCTCAGCAACTTAGAACTTCATGTTGAGCATATAGTGAAATATTCAAAGATATCATTCATTATGACTTGCTAGAAAATAATCAAACAATCAACATTGATCTCTACTGCCAACAATTTTGTCATTTGAAAGCAGTTTTGGGCAGGAAACATCCATCTTTAGTCAAACAGCATGAGAGTAATTCTCCATCACGATAATGCCTGTTCTCACACTGCACGATTGACTAAAGGTCTCTGAGAACTAAATTGGGAGAAATTTCTTTATTCTTCATATTCTTCTGACCTTGCTCCTCCTGATTATCACTTGTTTAAGGGTTTGGAGAGCCATTTGGATAGCATAAAGTTGACATTAAGAGAAATTGAACATGAATGGGTTTCATATTTTACATCAAAACCTAAAAGTTTTTACAAATGTGACATCTATAACAGATTGAATGAGGTTCTAGGAAGCAATAATAAAATATTTTATAAAGGCTATTAGTGTGTTTCAAAGAATTAGGTTTAATCAAAATAAACTTATAACTTTAGTTCAAAATATTTTTGATAATACACCATTTTGAATGATTGTATTGTTGACAATTGTTTTCAGAGTCAGTAAATTGTCTGAATGCAAACACTTGGTTCAGAAACTGCTTACTGTTTAAAACCTTATTTAAAATCCTTGAAAAACTGAATGTTTGTAGAGTACGGGTCTGTTGAATAAAGTAGATGAGGTAAAAGATTGATTTGGAATTCAGTTCATTTTTCCAAGTCAAGCCCAATTATCTGTGACACATTTTTCAATGGAAAAAATACGAATTATAAATGAACCTTCATAAATGCCATAATGAGACAAATAAACAAAACACACCATTATTTCTGCACAAAATTGTTTTTCTTGGTGGTTTACAGAAGATAATAATTAAGTGTGTTTTGTTCATATTGAAAATATACAAAGTGTGTTACATATATTGTGTGTTTGGAGAGTTTTGTGCACATTGAGTACATTGTTCATATACTGAGCCTTCTGAGTGTATTGTCACTGCACTGAGTATTTTATGTATGCACTGTGGTGTTATGAGTTTGTTGTATATAGTACATTATGCATGTTCTAAGCATTCTCAGTAGGCAGTGTTTATTGAAAATGCTGCGCATCTACTGAATGTCTTAAGTGTATTGGGAATGCACGCAATATGGTGCATGCATATGTTGTGCATGTTAATAATAATAATAAATAATACCTGCAGTGTTTGAAAATGATTCCATTCCCATAATCCAGACAATGTCCTGCATGGGCAGTTGGTAAATGTTTTCTTTGCAATTTGCATCTATCTCTCCTTTCTCCAAAGATGCCATCATTAACCAAAATCACTTCAGCAGAAAGACAACTATCAAAGTAAAACAATAACTTGTCAGCAAAATTAAAAAGATGGAAAATACTCTCACCATTTTTCAGTGTAAAGATGGTAATAGGATTAAGTTAACAAAAATAAATGAAAATTTTATATTTTAAAAATGAGCACATTTATAACTGCATTAAAAATAACTTAACAAAACTTTTTAAAAAAATGTCCTAATTTGATTTTAGAGTAGAAATATTTTTATTACACTGTTCAAAAATTGATATGGCAGCTCAATTCTACAACAAAATAAACAAATCATGAATCCAAACTTGAAAATCCATAGGCAGAAAGAAATGTCAAATTACAAATTCCAATACACATAAACCAGAAATCCAACATGCAAGTTAACGGAAAAGATAGACAAATAAAAATGACTTCCCAATTCAACAACACCAACCACTTTTATTAACGTAACAATTTTTTCCTTGGTTGACAGGTGGGAGAGGACACACAATATTAGCATATATCCAAGATGCATTTATGGCAACACCTGCAACTGACTTGTTTCTATTTTGGTTATTTTGTCTTTGGCATATCGTACAGAACACACATGGGCCCTTTTTCTTGGCAAGTGACTTTCTCTTTGACCACATACAAAGTAAACATTCTTGATATAAAATTGATAAGTCTTTTCACTCAGGAAAACAATTATCCTATGAGATTATGCCACATTGTGAACTTTTAATGCCCACTAGGTGGCATTGTAAAAATCAGTATATAAAAAAAGAGATCACAAACTCTTTCCCTCTTCTCAGCCTTTTGATTTGGATCAAAATCTAGTATTTCAATCACTCTTCATTTGAGATGAGAAAAAATGCCTGGTCTGATGAATTCCAACCCTACATCAGTACCTTCCTCATTGTGCTAAAAGAGGTGAAATTGGTTTAATATGGACACCAGCATGACAGTGGTTATGTGTGCTGGGCAATTTTTGTCCTTGGAACATACACATGAGTATGGAAACCGCCCTCCCCCACAAAAAAAACCTTGTGTCATATCCTGCTTTAGTGGGGAGTTCAGGTAAATTGCTTTACTCTCTCTTTATTCAATCACAGGATGCCATGGTGAAAAGACATGTTTTGTTTTCCCCCTGAGGAAACACCTTACTCCCCAGCTAAACCATGTGTAGCATTGTATACAACACAATATGACTACAGTATACAATATACTGTTTGAAAAAATCCTGCAACCACAATATCTTCACTATAATTACTATGTAAATAAATTATAAATTGATCTGATTATAAATTGATCTGCCTATGAAAGTCAAAACAAAATATGCTAGGTTCAACCAAAACAGATGTTCTTTTTCTGAAATAAAAAATAAAATAAAAATCGCTACTCATGGTTTTAAAATATCTACCAAAAATCAAAGAGTTATCTGATTCAAATAGAATTTTCCCTACTTAAGTGTATTTTATACCAAATAGGTCATTTTATTAGAAAACTTTGTGGAAATTGTGTGGTCTGTTAAACCCCTACTCTTTCGATACATTTATTTTTTGTATTTTTTTAATTTGGGTGGGTGTTTGCAAAATGATTTTTTACAGTTACATAAAGAAAAATCCCTGAAGATGTTATTTCAGTAAAAAAATTTATGCAATATCAAGTGGGAACATACTGAAAATTTGTCCTGAATCTGATGAAACCTAATCCAATTATAAAACTCAAAAAATTAATTCTTCTGACAGTTGTTACTTGCAGAATTTTCTTTCAGACAAAAAACCCCAAAAAGACTTAGTATTTGTTTTTAAAAAATTACTTGTAATTTTTCAGTGCAATTTTGAAATTCATCCCATTGTTGTTCATAAGAGATCCTTTTATTGAAATAAGACATGATTGACGATTTGAAAAATGTAGAGTTTAATACTATTTTCAAGTGTGAATCTTTGAAACAATCCCCCCCCCCCAATTTAGGTAATTTTAGATTATTTTTGGTATGGATGTTCAATAAGGAAATAATTTTGAATTCTCCACTTTGACTACTTTTCCTTAAGAGCGATATACAACTCATAAATTCAGAATAATTTTTTTTAAAAAGCACACATTTAGATGCATTTATTTTATGAAATCAAGCAGGTACGAAAATAATGAAAAAAAAAAAAATAAACATTGTTTTTATTTTTTATTTTTTATTCAACTGAAAAGTATCATTTTTAAGTTAAAAATTTTAACTAAAATAAATATTTCTAAGTAGTACAAAAATAAAATTATTCACTTTAAATTTCATAAAAATAAAATCGAATAGAATAAAAAAAATATTATATTCTTAAAGTAAACTATTATTAGTTGAAAAGGTTAAAGAAAAATTATTTTAAAACATAAATACCAATGTTTTGATCGCACTGCTGATATTTTGTTTTCCTTGAATTTTTACTTTTAATTTTTCGCGCGCTTTTTACGTCAGGGGCGTAATTATATTTTATTTTGAACACACAGGCTTACCGTGCATAAATAAACGTTAGGTTTTAAAGTAAACGTTACTTTTAAGTTTTACAAAATTTACTTAATTAATCTTTAAATTTACTTAATGACTTCAAAACATAATAGATTTTTAAATTTGTTTATATTTTTCGTCTGTAACGGCGGTTCGATAAGTGATGAGAAACATGCCAATGTTTTTTAATGACAACTTTATTTATATACGGAATTAATTCTTTTCAAATAAAACAGAAATTTAAGTTCAAAGAAGGCATTTAAATTATTTAATTTTAAAATGCATTTTAAGTCCGTGGTGGTACCTAAAAAAATTAATGTTCATTCATTACCAATGTAAAAAAAAATAAAATAAAATTGGTAGTCTGGATGTTTTTTTGTTTGTTTTTTTTTTTTGCTTTGTTTTCATAAGCATTCGAGATAATGAATTAAAAAAAAATATTTTTTTTAAAATTTTAACGTCGAGTGAGCATATTTGTTTTAGTTTGCGGTGTCATTTCGTCAAATTATTATTTATTTTTTTATTTCAATCCGTTGTCTCCCCCTCAGTGTCCGGTAAAAAGTAGTTAAGCCACAAATTGAAACAAATTATTCATCAGATATCTTAATGATAAAATTTTTAAAAAAGAAATGAATATAATAGACAGAATGATTGTATTTGGGACAACAGATAGGAAATTTAAAATATTTTGTTTATAAACCTCGAAGTGAAAAAAAAAAGAACTTTTTAAAATAAACCCGAAAAACAAAAAACACTACCTTTTTTTTCTTCTTGTCGATTTATTTTTCGTCGTGTTTCAGGTTTTTACGTTAACTTTAAATCTTCTTTCAGTTTTCTTTTCCTTTTTTACTAAATGAGCAAACAAACATTGATAATTCTAAATAGACAGAACATTATGAAATTCAGTGTGTCGAGAATCGAAAACTAAAAAAAACATCAGAACTGTTTCAAATTGAAGGCACTCGGTGTGATTTCTCATCTCGTTTCCGAGCATAGCAGTCTGCTCAGGTCCATTTGTGTTTTCAGTATGGGGTTTACACTGTGTATTTCATTTACCCCGACCAGCCGGGTGACATACAGTTATTTTTGTTTTGTTTTGAATGAAGATCGAAACGAGAAAGTAAATGTAAATATTCAAGGGACAACACTCACTGCGACGAAGGAAATTGAATAACAAGGGGAGACAATTCTATGCTCAGGGTAGATAACTCTAACAATAAACCAATTTATTTTTAATCAAATCAAATTGGTTTATTGTTAAATAAAATTTTTATTCGCGAAACAGTTTTCCCAGTTTTTTTTTTTTTTTTTACATTGGTAATGAAATAATTTGATTATCATTTTTATTTTTTACGTACCACCACGGACTTAAAAATTGCATTTAATAAAATTAAATAATCTAAATGCCTTCTTTGAACTTAAATTCCTGTTTTATTTGTTAATCTGAATTAAAAAGAAAAATTAATTCCGTAAAGTTTTTATTTAGACTTTTTAAAAACATTGGCATGTTTCTCTACAGCGAAGAAAACGGCGACTTACCTCGTCAAACCAAGCGACAGCGCGTCGCGTGTATCCTATGACGGAAAATGTGGCGAGAAAGAAAATTTCGGGCATTTTGGTTACCACGTTTGTTGGAGAGTGAGTTATTTTTCTGACTGGTTACGTGTATTGTGATTTGTGAGATAGTACCTGCGAATCGAATTTTCCGCATTTCTTTCTGCCCCCGATGTTTGAGTCTGAACTTAGTGATTTATTCTCTGCATTGTGGAAGTAATCTGCGACAAATATTTCCTTTGCAATCCCAGATCGCTTAAGCTATTTCGGCGCTATGACGGACAAGACATTTAACGTCAAGTTGATACACGAGTTTGTTGGTTCAGTGACCGGGCAAGCAGTTACTGAATGGATTGAGAAGGCAGAACTTGTTTATGACCTGTGTGGAATTAAAAAGCTTGAACGTGTTCTTCCTCTGAGGTTGACGGGCGCAGCATTTGCTGTATACCAACAGTTAAACTCAAAGCAAAAATCAGATGTCGAGCAGATAAAACGAGTCCTGAAGTTTGCCTTTGCACCGGATCGTTTCTTGGCTTACGAGCAGTTCGTGGAACGCCGACTGCGCCCGGACGAATCCGTCGACGTGTTTCTAACCGACTTGAAGAAGCTAGCAGATCTATTTGGCGGGATATCCGAGCAAGGACTAGCATGTGGGTTCATAGCAGGGTTACCAGCGCACTTCAAACAACTATTGTGCGCGTCTTCCAGGATGGAAGACATACAAACCAACTTTTGGACCGAGATCGGGTCATAATGAAAGATTAAAAATAACAACTGAGGAAATGGTTGCGGCTACCATTTCACCAGGCGGAGCTGATAAACATCCAAATGTTAAGCGTCGGGAGAGTATGCGATGTTATCGATGCTCTGGGTGGAAT